CCCCTCCCCGTTTCAGCGAGCTTTGGGCAGGCGGATATCAATAGCAATTTAAAGGTGAACTCTGCATGAAGCACAGGATGAAATGTAGTGAAATCTAACACGCGGGTCCCTTTGCCATTTAGTATGTAATTGAACAGTAGCAGCTCGAAAACTTGCTCCAATAAAACTTGTTAGCAAAGGCGCTTTCACTCGAGCCCAGCACCCTTTGCCGGTAGGCGGTTGGCCTTGGCTGCCGCCCAGGCACTTAAACCTCCAAGTGGGTAATACCTGCCCCCATGCTCCTGGCTGCCAGCTGAGGTTGATTTGGGACCCAGGAAATGTAAAATGTGCTAATCTTTGTTGAGCCTTACTTAGTAGGTTTTACTGTTATTTCTGTGCCCAGATTATGAAAATGAGGCTCAGATTGGAGGTGAGCGGCTAAACTGGGATTTCTCTGTCCATCTGACTGTAAGGGCTTTATCCACTACATATCAGGCCACCTAAAATCTGGAGTCCGCATAAATAATCTAACTTGAGAGTTTATAAATGAGGCAAAAATAAAATATTCCTGTTGCCTACCTTTAAGATTAAGAACAAGGAATATAAAATGCCATTAAAAATATAAAAAAAAAATTTAAAGGCAATTTCAATGCCCTAAGATGGCCAGTTAAGGAAGAGAGAGGCTGGGGGAAGTGCTGTGTGTGAGGGAAAGGGGAGACAGAAAGACAGACACACTTAGATCACAGGCACTGCCCCCTCCCACCTCTGAGATGACCCAGAGGGAGAGGAGCATCGTTTAGCTGGTCCAGTGTGACTCTCTGTCTGGGGTCAAGGACTGTGTCTTGTTCCTCTCTGTGTCCTCAGGGCCCAGGGCAGGCCTGGCACAGAGAGGACATTTGCAAGTGTGTGCAGAATACATGGTTAGAAAAAGAGATTGGAGCAAAATAGAAGAGTTGTGAAAAACAAGAGCAAAAGACAACTTCAGAATTGATGAGCCGACTTGAGAGAGAGACTAAGATAAAGAGACAGCCAGCAGGACTTAGGAGATAAAATGAAACAAAGACCCAATAAAAATACCAACACTTGTGATTTATGGAACTAAGCAAGATGACTCTAAAGTTCATATGAAAAACAAATAATAATAGCCAGAAAAACTCTGGGGACAAAAAGATAAATAGAATGGCCCCGCCAGCTGTTTTATTATATTATATAACACCTGTGATTAAAACTATGGTACTGGCACAGGTAGATTAAAGGTAGAGAATAGAAAGTCCAGAAATAGACCTTGGTGTTGAGGGGGCTTTAGTAAATAATAAAGATGGCATCTTAAGCAATGAGAAAAAGAGGAACTAGTCAATAACCGGTGTTAGCTATCTGGAAGAAAATAAAGTTGGATCCATTCTCACGTTATATACACAAGGATAAATTCCAAAAGGATCAAAGATTCAAATATGTATGAAACCATAAAAGTACTAGGAGAAAACAGGACAGAAATCCTTTATAACCTCAAGTGGGGAAAGCCTTCCTAACTCTGAATCGAAATCCAGAAGCCGTCAAAGTGCACACAGGCACATGTCCAAAATCTGCATGGCAAGTGTCATGAACAAGGTCAAAGACAGATGACAAATGGGGGGGAGGGGAATAGCACTCACACCACAAAGGACTAAGTTGACTAATACAGGGAGTGCCTAGAAATAGTAAGACCCACAGCCCAGCAGGAAAATGGACAACACATAATATGGATAGTCCACAGGAAAGGAAATACAGGTGGCTCTTAAACACAGGAAAAGCTGCTCAACCTCACTCATAACAAGAGAAGGCAAAATAAAACTACACCGTGATACCATTCGCCTACCCCTTAGCAAAGACCCAAAGTCTGATGACACTCTGTTGGGGAGTGTGGGAGGTACAGGCCTCTTGTAGTGTGCGGATTGGGATGTAAATCAGTATAAGCCCTATAGAGAGCAACTTAAGCAAATTCAAAAGGACATTTGCACATACTCATTTCCTGCAGCACTGTTTGTAATGGAAAAAGACTGAGAAGAACCTAAGTGTCCATCAAGAGGGGACTCGGTTGATAAAGTGTGATGTATCCATATAGTGCAAGACTTCAGCGAAAAACAAAACTGAAGCTTTCTATGCACAGATATGGAAGGTCTTAAAATATAGTAAGTGAAAAAGTGAGGAACAGTGTATATAAAATGCTACCTTTGGTATAAAAAAGAGAAAATAGCTGTATTTGCTTGTATATACACACATAAGAATCGCTAGTCTAGAAGTTTATGTAAATGAGTTACAGAGATCATCAGTGACAGGGTAGAGGTGGGGAACAGGGCAGATGGGAAGGTATCAGTGGCAGGGTAGGCAAACTGCCTGGAGGCCAAACTGACCCCCCATCTTGTTTTTGTAAACAAAGTGTTACTGAAACAGAGTCATGCCCATTCTCTCCTTTCCCTAATGTCTATAAAAACTCAAGCAATTATACTAGGAAACACAAAAGAGACTTGAAGAGGCTTTAAGTATGCAAGGAAGGATCCTTGGGAAGGAACAGGGTGAAGGGGTGGCCATGGGCTCTGAGATCGGACAGACTCCTGTTGGAATCCTGGCTATATCACTCACAAGCCATGAGACCCTGTGGATCAGGCGGTGGGAGCTTTGATTTCCTGTGCCAAGGGGGTAGGAACACCCAGCTGCTAAAAGGGTCGTGAAAGTGAGAGAGAAGAGTGAACATGTAATGAGCACCTAGCATGGGCCTGGTGCGTAGCAAGTGCTCAATAACTGGTAGCTGTTATTACTTTTCCCTTTAGGCCACTACAGGTTTGTTTTGTAATCTAACCACCACGTATAACATCGCTATTATGGGAAAATGCATTTCAAGTTCTTAACAGTGAACTCGAAGGACTGATCAGGGGAGGCTGTAAATCACACCTGGAGTCTCACGCTTCTCTATTTGTTAGTGTGGCCCAACATTAAAAGAAATGGAGGCTCAGGAAGGGAAACAGGCTCAAGGGATTGGAGGTGCACACCCTGAAAGCAGGAGGCAAAGCCAGGTCAGCATTTGGATAAGACATTAGACATGGACTTGGCAGAAGGGTGCCTGTTTCTGCTACTAGGAAAAAAATAGCCTCTTCCCAGCTTGGCTTGAGCTCAGCAGGGAAGGAAAAACTGTGATAATCTACCTCCACTGGAGCTCAGTAAAGCAAGTTCCTCTTCTCAAAAATACAGGCTCTACTGCCAGAGCAAGTGCCCACAGCACAGGCTGCCTGGGGAAAGCAAGAGCGCCTGCCCCACAGAAAGTCCTCTGGGCTTTACAAAGCTTATTTCAACTCTGGAAGCCTCTGTCCTGAGGAGCCTCAGTGCAACACCAGGGTCTGCAGATGAAGCAAAGCTGCAGCACACCTCCTGCTCCTGTGCCCCAGGCCACTCAAGCCCCTTGCCCGACTCTCCCCAGGGCTCTCCTTCCCTGGACTGTGCGCTCTGCTCCTGATTTCCCGCAACCCTTTTCTGCCTTCAAACATCACCTGTCTGTTGTCTCTCATGTTCCAATCCTGCTCTTTGCTAATACAAAATGATTTGGAGTCAAGACCTGGGTTTTAGTCTTGCCACTAACTTTGGACAAATCATTTCCTTTCTTTTCGACCTCAGGTTCCTCATGTTCAAAATGAGTGAGAGCTGATCTAGCTCCTCAGGCTTTCCCAGGAAGCACCCTGCAGACAGTGCACGCAGGAGTCTCAGGACTCAGTCCCACGAGGCCCGATGCCAGCTCCATAGTTCTTTGCAAACTTATTCTTTCATTTTTAAAGAATTCATGTGAACTTTGCATTCTACCCCATGACATCTGTGTTATAATTTAGATGCAGTAGGCTCCCCTAAATCTTTAAGTAATCTTGATTCTCCCGGAAGTTAAATAATCATGTTTATCCTGAGGCCACATGTGACATGACCAGGTATACTGGGTGCATATCCCAGTGCGTGAGCCATGGGACAAGGGGTGCTTTAAGGGTGCCTCGAGGGCAGACATTGGGAATAGTCATCCTTTCTAATGTGTCCCAGGTAACTGCATTTTAACAGAGGATTCTGGAACTCATGTCTTAACCCAAAGGAATGATTCTAACTGTGGAATTTTAGACATGGCAGCAGGTGCCTGAGAAGAGAGGAACTGGAACATCCGTGCAATGACCCTCAGTTACTTTATACAGGCGAACTTCAGGTTATCCTAAGACTAAAATAAGACTCAATAAATAATCCCCATCACCAGGCAACCAGCCTTCCTCATGAAATACCTTTTCCTCTTGGGTTATTTCCAAACTCCCTGGAATATACCAGGGCAGGCCTAGCTGCCCTTTAAAGTCAAGGAACAAGGTCCCATGAGGCTCAGTGTCAGACCCACAGACCCAAGGACTAGGAGATAGACAGACAGAGAGATACACTTACCATAGAACCCAGCAGAAGCTCCCTGCAGGCTGGGACACTGAGTTCTGGCCCAGGGAGAAGCTCTGTGCCTATCACAAAGCCCTTGGGGACTTTGAAAGGGACACCATCTAGGGCATTCATTGTGTCAGAGGAGTGTGGTGATAGCTGAGCAGGCTGCCTGGTGGCAGGAAGAGAATGTAGTCCTGAGGACCAGGCTCAGGCCTCAGACGATCGCAGTGCTCTCCTGTGTGGTGACTTAGCTGAGTCCCATACAGCCAAGAAGGAAAAGGTAAAGTGGCCAGTGCTGAAAGGGAGGAAATGGGTAAAAAGAAGAGCATTCAAATGGACAGGAACTGACCATTTCATGTTTAAGTCTTACTCCAGGCCATTGTTTCCCAAAACGTGGTCTCCAGCTCTCATTCTAAAGTCTTGTCTCAAAAGAGTTTTCACCCCCCCAAAAGTGTGCAGTTTTTGTAAACCTAATAAACATCAAAAGCAGAGGATTAAAATTAACAAAAAAGAATTTTCACACAAACGTTTAAGGGAGAAATATCAAGTTACAAAAACGCTTCCACAAAAGAAGAAGGAATACTTCCTAACTCGTCCGGCATCACCTTGATACCAACTTGACAAGAAAATTAGAGGCCGATCTCTCATGAACATACATGAAAAAACCTTAACACAAATAATTATGGATAGAAAAATGTTCCCAAGTTGAGTTTATTTCAGGACTAAGAGGTTGGTTTAACATTCCAAAATCAATCAATGGGAATAAAGATAAACATCCATAGAATAAAAATTTTAAATTATATAATTATCTCTCTCCAAAGGTACAGAAAAAGTGCTTGATAAAATCAATACATTTTCATGATTTTAAGAAACAACAAACCCTGTTAGCAACTTAGGAATAGAAAAGAATTTCCTTAACCTAATAAAGAATATCTCCAAAATATCTAAAGCAAACATCCTACTTAATGGTAAAATACTGAAAGATATCCCCAAGATTGGAAATGATAACACAAGGACGTCCCATCATCTCCTCTGTTCGACACTGCACTGAGGTACGAGGCTGTGCAAGAAGATAAGGAAAAAATAAAAGTATGACGGTTGGAAAGAAAGAAATAAAGCTACTATTATTTATAGATGATATAATTATATGTAGAAAATCCAAAACAATTTATGAAGGTATTGGATACATAATCGATATATAAGAATCAATTATATTTCTATACACAAACAAAAAAATCATATAAATGTTATCTTTAAAAAATGTCATTAGAGTTTGAAATTTTAAAAAGATACCATTGAGCCCTGCCCGGGCATGGCTCAGTAGCTGAGCACTGACCTAGGATCCAGGCGATTGGGGTTCAATTCCCGGTCAGGGCACAGGCCCAGGTTGCGGGCTCGATCCTCAGTCGGGGGCGTGCAGGAGGCAGCCGATCAATGACTCTCTCATCACTGATGTTTCTATCTCTCTCTCCCTCTCCCTTCTTCTCTCTGAAATCAATAAAGATATACATATTTTAAATAAATAGATAGATGATAGATGATAGATAGATAGATGATTGATAGATAGATAGATAGATAGATAGATAGATAGATAGATAGATAGATAGATAGATAGATACCATTGAGCTCTGGCTGGTTTGGCTCAGTGGTTAGTGCGTTGGCCTGTGGACTGAAGGGTCTCGGGTTTGATTCCAGTCAAGGGCACGTACCTCAGTTGCAGGTTAACCCCCAGCACCAGTTGAAGCTTGTGTGGGAGGCAAACGATCAATGTATCTCTCTCACACCAACGTTTTTCTCTCTCTCTCCCTTCCACTCTCTCTGAAAAGCAATGGAAACAATATCCTACAGTGAGGATTAAAAAAATAAAAGATACCATTGACATGAGCATCAGCTACCTAGGGATCAATGTAAAACCTGATGTATATGATCTCTACACAGAACTATAAACTATTAGAATAAATGGAGGAACNATAAAAGATACCATTGACATTAGCATCAGCTACCTAGGGATCAATGTAAAACCTGATGTATATGATCTCTACACAGAACTATAAACTATTAGAATAAATGGAGGAACATACCATGGCCATGATTGCAAGACTCAATATTATAAAGATATCAATTCTTCTTGAATTGATTTCCAGATCCCACGTATCAAAATCCCATCACATTTTTTGGTGTAAGTTGACAAACTAATTCTAAAATTTAAATGAAATGTAAAGGGCCAAGGAAAGTCAAGACAGACTTGAAGAAGCAACACGGTTGGAAGATTTATACTTTTTGATATCAAGACTTACTTTGAAGTTACAGGAATTTAAGACAGTGTGGTATTGACATGAGGACTTATGAAGGGACCAACAGAACAGAAAAGAAAGTCCAGAGACAGATCCACACATACATAGATCAATCCTTGGTTTATGACCCTGCAGAGCAGTAGGAAAATGAAGGTCTTTTCAATAAATGGTTCTGGATAAATTAGGTATCCACCCAGAAAATAAAAATCTTGACCTTACCTTACATCATACACAAAAATCAATTCTAGGTAGACTATAGATCTAAATGTAAAAGTAAAAAGGCAAAGCTTGAAGATAAAATTAGAGAATATATTCATGGCCTTAGAACAGGCAAACATTTTTTAAACAGATTACAAAAAAAGGTTAACTATAAAGGAAAATACTAATAAATTGGGTTACATTAAAGTTAAGAACTTACATTCATTAGAGAGTTTTTAAAAAAAATCAAAGAGTGGGAGAAGATATTTGCAGCATATGTATGGGACTAAGGACTCATATTCAAAACATACCAAGAACTTCTACAAATCAATAAGAAAAAAGCCCAATACAAAAATAGGCAAGAAAATTTAATGGGCATTTCACAAAAGAGGCTATCCAAATAGCCAATAAACATATAAATTGCTTAACCTCATTAGCCATCAGGGAAATGCAAAATAAAACAATGAGATATCACTACATGCACGAACAGCTAAAATTTTCAAAGCCTGACAATATCAAGTGATGAGGGTGAGGAAACATCTGGAACTCTCGTGCCCTGTTGGTGAGCAAGTCAATTCATATTATGAGTCAATAGTATCTACTGATGCTGAAATCTAAGAATTAAAACCTCATTCACACATAGTTTCTGGGCCTTTTGGCTAAAATCAAGTACAGTATCTGTTAGTTTAATCATCACAATAGCCATGGATTTAATTTTTACATATTTTAAACAACATTAAAAAAAATTCTGTTGTCTTAAAAAAACAAAACAATACTCATTCATAAGAATTCAAGCTCATGACGGCCTATAATATATACTTTAATCTAGACTCCTGACCACAGTCTGGCATTTTACAAACAATCAGGGTTTACCAGGGAGTACCTCTGGCTTAATACAATTTGTCATCCCTACCAGGATGGTGCAGAGCCCTGCTGCTCGGGGTCACTAGGGCCATCCCCATCCCCACATGAGAGCACCAGGTGAAGCTGGAGAGTAGGTAATCTGAGCGCAGAGAGGTCAAATGAGGCCAGGCGGGCAAATCCCTTAATTCCCTCATCTCCACTGTAATCTCACTGTTGTCAGTGTCTTTCTATCTGTACCACTCAGAAGACTGTCTCCCAGCACACTGGAGCTGCTCTCTCTGCTCCAGGGTCAGACAGGTCCCAGTGTGATCAGTAAGTTATTTGCCCCATCACCCTGTTCTTATAAGGGACTCCGAGGTACAGGGGGTTGTAGGGAACACAGGAAAGTTGGCAAATTTTGGCATTCTCAGATTTATCCTTCATGTTTTTGGCTACCATTAGAATTTTGAGCTATGGGGAAGGACCACAGTTTTATTGAGACTCAAGTGTGAACCGCCTGTCCACTGAGCAGGTGCAGGGCCACCCTTGTCCTCCCTTACCTCTGACCCAGCATCTGCATCCTAAATGGATATTCTCTGCTCAGTTCTACACTTGCTTCTGGAGTAATTGAAGAGTTTGAGGATTCTGAAAATACATCTCTTAAGAACAGCAAGGGCTACAGTGATCTAGTTAGAACATATTCTAAAATGACGGTCACCTCTGCTAAATACAAAATGAGAATATGGATCATTAAGTGATATTCTTCAGAGGAAGGTGAATATTCTAGTCCTTGGGGCTGAGGAAGCTTCAGGGAAGATGGGACTTGACCTGGATCCTGGAGGGTGGGGGAACTGCATAACTCCAAGGAGGGAACAACTTGAGCCAGGGAGCAGAGGCAGGGCAGAGTGAAGGGGAGACGAGCTGCTTGACTCAAGTAGACAGTGTGTGCTGGGAAGCAGTGTGCAGTAAGACTGATAGAACAGCTTGGGGCAGAGCTGGGCCGGCCCTGAACTTTAGGCTGAATGCTGACTCCATTCACTAGGCAATGGAGAAAGCTCTGAAGGAGCCTAATGGGGTGGGGTGAGGGTGGGGGAGTGAGGATATTAGGAATGCCAGTCTGTGATGTTTTAGCAAACAGCATAGTACAGGATCACTCCAACACCAGTCCCTGGGTCTGAGCAAGGGGCAAGGGGCAGGTGGGTGGGGGTTATAGCAATCAGTCTACAAGGAGCCCAGACAATGACATTAGTATTATGTTTAAAGGTCTCCATTATACTCTCTAAATGACTTCATCTTTGCCCATGGCTTCAATAATCTATGTGCCAATGACTCACACATGAAATTCTCCAGTTCTCTTCTGAGATCAAACTCATAAGCATGACTGCCTTTAAGGCATGTCCTCTGAGATGTCTCAAGGGTGCCTCAAACTCAACATATCCAAAGTGAACTTCTGATTTCCCCTCCCCCAAAGTGCTCCTCATCCCCCCAGGATTCCTTTATCTCAAGGAATATCTAAGGTGCACAAGCTTGGGACTCAACCTGACACTTTCCTCTCCTGCACTGCCACCCATCTCAAATCCTTGCCAAGTCTTTTCTCTTAAATTTCTGGAATTCAGCCAATTCATGCCACCTCCATTGCTGTCAAGGAAATCCAAGCCCCCATTATCTATCACTTGGACAACTGGTGTCCATGTATCCTCTTATGCCTATTATTGTAATTCTGTTCTACTCACTGGAACAAATGTGATCATTTCAAATCAGCAAACTAAGTCATTCCTCTGCTTAAAAGCTTCCAGTGGTTCCCAGCTCCTCTCAGAATCAAAATCAAACTCTTGACAAGGGCTTCCAAAGCCATGTAGAGACTGGCCCCTCCCTTCACCTTCTGTCTCTCTCTAGCCTTGTTGACCTTCAATCGCTCTGGGTTTTGGTCCAACACAGGGCCCTTGCATATGCTATTCCAGATACTTGCTATGTTCTTGTCTCCTCCCCACTAGTTAATAGCTGTTCACTCTTCAGAGCTCAGCTGAAACATCATTTCTTCAAAAAAGCTTTCCCTGGCCCCCAAACTTGGATAGGTCCACCTAGTACAGTGGCTTTCAAGACCCACAGGATGACTTTGTGACATAGCATATACATATGTAAACTGAATAATGACAATTCTTATCCTCACTATATGATACATTTTCTGTTATTTCACCTAAATGCATTGCAGAACATTCAGTTTGGGGGGGGCTAATTAATCTTATAGAACCGTATCTGTCCTTCAAAGCACTCAGCACATTTTTTATGATTACTGGATTATATCTATCTCCCTCAAAATGTGTGTTAGGGCGTATTTGATATTGTGTTCTTTGCGATAGCCCTTGTATTTAGCAAATTATCTGAGCCTCAACAGTCACTTAGTAAATATTTGAATAATGAAAAATATGAGTTGGTAACTAAGCACTTTTTCTTTTAGCACTTATCACAATTATAATGAACTCTAATTATCTGTACAATCATAAGGCTTCTCTACTCTAGATTCTAACTCCAGGATGGCAGGGATCTTATTTGCTCCTTTTTACGTCTCTAGCACTTAACATCATACCTGGCAAATGGTAAATAAAAGCATTTCCCAAGTACACAGTTCAAATTCAGATATTTAGATTCTGTCAAGCATGAGTTAATAAAGTTGAGAAGTGTCCCCTGCTCTGCATAGATATGCACTTTAACACCAATTGCCTCAAAGACTTCAATCTTTGCTTCAGAGACTGTAAGAAACGCAGTTTATTCCAAAAGGCAAATGGAAACTGCATTGGGAACAAATTCTTCATGGATAGCCTGATGTGGCAGGTCAGGAACTACCCAAAAGCAAAAAGTTAATTATACAGAAATAGCTTATTGGTTACAAGCATTATAAAAAAAAAAAAAATTAAGTTGGAAATGCCTCATGTAATCTCTAGTCCTTAATATATATCACTGCTAATACTTCATAGCATTCACATTCCTGCTATATATTATACTTGTTTGAATGGAACAAGACATGCTTTGTACTTACCTTGTGATTCCCAGGATAGCTTCCCTGTGGACAAAACTCATAGGAGTGAATTCCTACAGCAGATGGTATAATCCCAGCTAAGCTTCTTGATACATCCTTGCACAAAAGTCACGTGGACAAGAAACATGAATGGCTTTAATGATCAAATTGGTTGGCTTATAGCAAAGTCTTTGACGTCATAAACTCAGCCACTTGGGAGTATTTAACATATTAACTAATCTCTTTATTTTCTATTCTTCCCTATATTCACTTAATCTCTTAAAAATAAATGGTTTTGTTAAAGCGTCTCACAAGTCTAGGGTCTCCTCTACTGGGAAGTAAGATAAACATTATTCTTGCACATAGGATATGATGAATCAACATATTTCTGGTTAGTATTTGAATGAGTGTCTCTATTTTCATTAATTTGTTCAATGTATAAAGCATTTATGTATAGGTATAAAAAAGACATGATTTAGAAAGGGGCTGGACACTCAGCAGAACTGTAGTTCTTAGTTCTAAAAGAAAAAAAAAAGGACTAGTAATGACCAGTAATAACACTGAGCCCCCACTGTCATGCAGACTGTGGCCTATAAATACCTTTTCAACTGAAGAGGAACCTGGGATCATTAGAGAAATGATTGCTTCCAGGCTTGGGTTAGGAAATGAGAAAAATAATTTTGGAGCAGAATACTGGGATCGAATGGGAACTAAGGAGCTTAAAGAGGCTCCCACTGGCTAAAGGTGACACAACCAATAAAGAAACCAATAAAATGGGTTGAAAGACAAGTATGTTTAGATCTGAGTTCATAATGGTACTTAAACACAAAATTCACTAGTCAACTTTGAACGAGGCTAGGAAACCATTATTCTGAAAATGAGTAAATCAAGGAAATTAAGTATTTATCTCTTGTCTTTCCTATGCGAATTGTACCCCAGGGTAACGAAATAGTTGGTATGGGAATATTTCTCTTTAGAAATATTCCAGCTAATAAAGAAAGGCAGTATTAAACTATCACTATTTTGCAACCCCAAATGAATGAATCTAGGTCTTGATTACAGATGGCTGCCAAGATCACAAAAAGAGACAACCAAATTATTAGTCCTCCTGGAGCACACACCAGGGTTATGAAACAGTCTTACCAGAAAATTCCGATCTATATGTAATCAAGTCTCTAGATCAGCACTGTCCAACAGAAATGTGAGCCACATATGTAATCGTACATCTCAATTTCAAGTGCTTCAATAATCATGCATGGCTACCGTACCAGACAGTACAGCTCTAACCACTAAATTATAAGAAATATGGAAGAGAGGATTAGCAAAATCCAGACTGGGAGCTCTTCAGGAGAAAAATGACCTGATTTTTTCAAGCAATACATTACAAGGGGGAGGAAGAGTAGGAGAATGCACAGGAGTGAGCGGGACAGACCTATAGATGATCAGGAACTTAACAGGCCTTTCAACCAACAATGCAGAGACTGCATCTGGATCTTGATTTGAACAAAGTGTAAAACACACATTTATGAAATAAGGAAATTTGAACACTGACTGGATTTTTGATGTTTTGTTAGTTGTGATAAGGCACTGTGGCTACATTTTAAAAATATCTTTTAGAGCTATATACTGAAGAATTTATAAAGTAATGTGATGTCTGGGATTTGCTTCAAAATAATCCAGAGTGAGTGGTGGAGGTAAAGATAAAACAAGATTGTCCAGAAACTGACAATTATTTTAAGCTGGATGATGGGTATATGGGGAAAAAATTATATTATTCTCTTTAGATTTATTTGAAATTTTCCGTAATAATTTTTTTTTAAAAAACTGTGGTATAATAAAAAAGGGCTTCTGTCGTGAGTGGCACACATAGAGCTGCTTGATTGCTGTGTGTGTGGAATCGACATCAAGAGATTTCGGAAGCATCATTTTTTGGTATTTGGGCAACTAGTGATCATTGGTCCTGGTGCCCGCAAAAAAAAAATAATAAGATTACAATGACACTGTCCATATTCTCAGAAGAATAATTTGGTAAAGAAATACACAAGGCAACAAACCAAGAAAAACTTACAAAACAAAAAACAGACAAAGGTAACACTCGCTTTATTAAAACTTTGCAGAAGCTGCTAGAGGAAAGTGGGAATGGTTTCTTCCACCAGGCGTTGAATGCCTTCTTGGGTTGTGCTGCCTGAGTTTTCCTAAGTCCCCGCTTCACACTCCCTGACCCATCAGTGCAGATGTCTTAATGGCAAGGCTGTCTGGTCACCAAACATACAACGTACTATGCAAGTCGTCTTTTATTTCTACTTTTCCTGCACCTCATCAGAGAGCAAATGGTGGAGACTGATAACAAAAGGGCACACAGGCCTAAGGGTTATGTGAAAATTTTCAGGTTTATGGGCTTAGACACACACTTTTGAGGAATGCTGGCTCTTATACCCGTTAACTCTGTAATGCACACTACACAAATTTAACAGTGTAGATTTAACAACAGAAAGGAACAAAGGTTTTAGCATCTTGCACCCAACAGCTTTCAACTACATGAAACCATTTCCAAAGTTGACAGTGTCCTTTCCTGCCTACCCCGAGTTGGATTCCATGGACAGAGTTTGGTGTCTGAGGTTCATTCTCCTCTAGCAAATGCCTATTTAATAAATTTGAATTTTAGAGAGAAAATGTGTTTTATCAATGTGAAAGTGTGTGTAGTGATTTGGAAAGCAACAAATTGGGAGCAAAGGCTCAAACTGAAAAATAAAAATGATATTTATTTAGCTTTTTGTAAATATAAATAACAAGAAATGACAAAAGGCAAAACAAAACAGAATAAAACAAAACAAACCTGACATGTCATATCGTTGATCATGTCCAGGCACAAAAGCATTTATTAATGAATATAAAAAAATAAATTTTATTACTTTTATCTGCTTTATTCCCAGCTTTAACTACATGGATATTTTTGGTGCTGAAGTTCCTAAGAAAATTCCACAGCTATACCGGCCCCTACTGGGTGCATGAGGTTAAGGTCCTACTCCCATAGGGAAATAAATTTCTATCCTTGGGGGTTCTGAACAACTAGACCTCTAGAACTTAAAAAGTAGTTCCTTTCATTAGGATCCTTCTAACATGGGGAAAATGTAGCCATCATCCATTAAAACAGGATCCAGTTTGGGTACAGGTACTCTTCAGGTGTTCCAAGTTCTCCACATGACTACCTGACTAAGCCACCGGCGTTACTGCCAGCCCAGCCTACAGCCTCTCAAGCTGCACCAAAAATGGGCTTCACAAAACTAAAGATAAAGCAATTTTGGCCTTTCTTCCTGGCATTTAGAGGGCTATATGGGTGGGAAGGTAAGGTGGTTTTGCATCAAGCTTTCCTTCACACTCAGTACTAGGGGAAGGACTGCTAACCTACCCGGTGCACACCTGTGTTGAGTGTATGGCATATACTTACCCATCATCCCACAAGGAAGTTGAGTAAATTAACTAGTCACTCTAGACCAAGCCCCTCAAAACAGAGGCAAATTCAGTGAACCAAGGCATGTGGTAATAGTCCCAGTTCACCTAGGTCCTTTCCTAAAGAACCATATTAATCTCCTGATTCAAGAAGCACCTCTGGCCAGGACACAGCATGGAAGGAAAATGGAACTTCTGGGAAGGGCCATGCCATGTGGAGTTTACAAGGTGTTGTTTAGTCCACAGCACAAGAGATGGCAGCATTACTAACATTTAGAGCTGGAAAGAGTGTTGCCTGGTCCACAATCCTGGAGCGTCTTTACTAATGCAGCTTAATGGCAGTTGCCCAGATGTCGTTGCTGGGGAGCGGGGGAAGGACCCATCCTTGGGGAACGGAGTTGCCTTTAGGATGATCAGATGGTACCAGGTACTGATCCCAATCATGCCTTAATAAGAACATTGCAGAACAACTGTTTATTTCTGTTTCAGTTCAAGCAAGACGGTCAGCACTAAATACTCTATTTCAGGACTTACCTTTTCAATGACTGATATACTAGTCCACTAATGAACTAGATTGCTATGAATTATGCAAAAGACTGTGTTTCTTAAGTATACATATGGGGGGGAAAACTCCAAAGAACTTATAATTTTAAAGATAACCAAATAATGAATACACAGTCAATCCTCATTATTTGCAGATTCCATATTTGTAAATCTGCCTAGTCACTAAAATTTATTTGTAACCCCAAAATCATTACTTGTGGTGCTTTCATGGTCACTTGCCAACATGCACAGAGTGGTGAAAAATCTGAGTCACCAACAGCCACGTTCCCAACTGAGGTCAGACAAGGTGACACTCTGCCTTGTTTTCAGCTCTCATATTGTAAACAAGTGTCCTTTTTGCAGTCTATTTAGTACCCACCCACCCCTTTTTTGCATTCTAGTGCTCTTTATTGGCAATTCTGCTTTTTTAAATGTCTCCCCAATATAGTACTGAAGTGGTAGCTAGAGTGAGAAGGCTGTAATATGCCTTATGGAGAATATAAGTATGTTATATAAGCATAAATTATGCTGTTAGACATAAGGTTCGATGTTAATAAATCAACAAGATATATTAAATGAGGTATCTTTAAAAAGAAATACACATAAAACAATGTTATGTATTGATCAGTTGATGAGAATGTTGGGGCCAGAGGCCCATAGAAACCTAACCCTATATTTCCTTTAGGAGCAGCAGTTCTGTATTCTCTAACTCAGTGTTCGTGGCTTTATAGGGCACAGCTAGTGTGCATAACAAGACCTGATCGTACTTATGTTTAAAAGCTAAAACTTGTATATTAGTCAGAAATCCACTTTTCCCAGAACATAAAATTGGTATGCAAAAGAGCACTGTGGAAGCTTTGGGAGAAACCTCAGAGATCACTTAGGTCAGTGATTTTCAAACCAGACTTTGAAGACACCTGGACATCAAGTAGATGCTTTGAGGAGTCTAGAAACAACAAAGTGCTTCTAGTCAATAACAGATTTAAGTTGCCTGTGGAACCCGCTCATTCATTTACTCATTCATTCTGTTTTATAAATTGATTTATCCAAAGACTGCATTTGGGAAGAGTACTACTGCCAAAGTTTGAAGGCCACATTCTAGTTCACCATTTTCATTCTAGGTAAGGAAAGTGAGACCCAGAAAGCTGCAAAGTTTAGCTCATTAGTAACTGCCCGTAAAGATGGGACTCCCTGTTCCTAGCTCTCTTGACTTCGACCGGTAAGAACTCACAAGTCAGCAGCATGGGTCTTAACCAGTCTCCACAGACTGGAGAGGGCCTATTTAGTAGCAGAAGAGAACCAGAGAAGGAAGTCAGTGCTTTAAGTCAACGTAACAGCACAGCCTGGGCGAATACAAAAGGGCAAGTCACAGCCTGAGTTTGTTTCTCCACCTTTGAAAACAGGGACACCTACTTCTCAAGGACGAATGAGGACTTAACAACATGTTTGTGGCCCCCCTGAAACTTGGAAACTTTATATAAATCCACTAGAAACTTAAAAACATAGATACAGGTGACATGGAGAGTGCCCCTCTGACCTTATTTGGATGAGCGCCGGCAGGGAGTGCTCAGCTTGGAGGTAATACTGTCGGAAAGGCTGCAAGAGGTGAGCGAGTGGGAACTCATCTGAAAGAGAAAAGGCACAGCTCATCACCACACTCCATATCCAGAGGGTATAGCTCAAGGCTACATGACTGAGCCTGTGACGACAATACGATCAAATGCGTTTCATCTTTATCCATGATTTCCAGGATCTAGTCTGGAATTTCAAATCCTGAAGGTGTCACTGTTGCCTATCACCTCTTAGCTTAGGTTGAGGTCACCCATGAGAATAAGTTAACCTAGTCAGTATTGTCCTTTTCTCCACTGGTTACAGAGTAACTTACCTGGATCCCCAAATAACTTGGACTCAATTTCCCGCTTCTGCAGTAAAAGTTTCTCTTTTTCTTTCCTCTGTTTCTTTTCTCGTTCTCTTTTCCTCTCTTCCTCTTGTTCTCCTTCCAGCATAACTCTGAGGGCTCTCTCTTCAGCTTCATATAGCTCAGAGCGTTTTTTAATGAGTTTTCTCAGTCGCTGAAGATGATGCTCAAAAGTCTCATCTGCTGAGGCTGGAGGACAGACCCCTGGGCAAAGAGATCCAAATGGCATTTCAGTTACAACTTTTTCTTATCCCCAAATCTGTGTTCTAATGGGCCAACTCAAAGTCCAATTTAGTATAAATTTGCTGAGAATTTGTAAGTTCTAATCCATCTTCAAGGATCAATTTGAATCTCTAATTAATTTGAACCTAACCTTACTTTCTCTTTTCTCTAATTCCTCTCTCTGGAGCATATACCACTTAATCTTTGATTTTGTTTAATTCTAATGGTTCTGATCCTGCAGTTGGGAGAATGGGCTCACTAAAGGAACTGTATTATACTTCTTCATTATGAAATTCCCACAGCTAATAAACAATTCTCCCTCTGAGTCTGAAGTTCTGGAAGAGCACATATGGATACTGAGAAGAAACATACTTAACCAACCACACTGACCTCACAGTCTGCTGCTGAGAGTGGAGAGGCCAAGTATTTCAGTTTGTCCAGTTTTAGCATTTGAAAGCCCAGTGTCCTGGGAAACCTAGGATGGTTGGTCACCCTGATTTAACTGTGAGGTCAGCTAACAGCATAGCCAACATAGCTAGAGCCACAACTGGGAACACTTTAGACTAGTTATTAGGTGATATAAAAGAATTATTACTAATTTTATGTGATAATACCATAATTGATGATGGGTAATTTATCTAGGTGTTCTATTTTTGTGCACATGTAAAAAGGAAAACTTTCTGAAATTTAATGAATATTCAAGTAGATTGCAATAGTGCACTCACTACCATTCTGGCCCTGCAATATACAAGTTGCTGAAGCTGCTAGGTGATTCATCCTAGAGTGATGTGTGGTCCATCCTGATAGTCCTTGAAGATTTTAAAGGAAAATATATTTATTACGGCAACATTTTAACAATACCAGGAGCATGGAAGAAAAAAATCCTAATTCTGCTAACATAATCAACCATTTTTATTTCCCCATGTTGATTCTCTAGCCGTTTTTTGTCCATATATGAGCAACTTCACATAGTTGAACATAAAATGTGTGTAATTTCCACACCTCCATGTCAATTCTCTACATTCTTTTTCTCTCTTTATGATTATTTAATGGCTCTATCCTATTTCGGCAAATCAATGTACCTGCCATAATTTACTTAATAAGCTCCCTACTCCTGGACACTTAGGCTGTTCCAAATGTCCTATTATCATATAATACTACAATGACATGTTACTTTTTTCCTTTGTATGATTTCTGTAATGTAAATTCTCAAGAGTGGAAATTTTATGAATACTTTCAAGACTACCTAAGTATAGCACTAAACTTGTTTCTTTAAAAAGTTATACATTTATTCAGTACCTTACACTTGATACAAAGAAAGTAATAAATATTTATTTCTTTAACAAATGATTATCAACAGGGTTTTGGCAATTTATGCTACTGCCAATGAAGTACAACAATGACAGCTTTGAGCACTGAATTTTCAACTCTGGCTGATAATGGCATAAAATAACGGTTCTGTAAGCTAAGCGGTTGTGGAATTCACTCTCCTCCAAGGCTAAGATTTCTCCAGATGATTTTCTCATGACTGCTTTGCTTGAATGGGCTTCTATTCACTTATTCCCAAATGGAAATAGAAACTGTACAACTCAAATCCATCTTCTACTAAATTGCTGGGCTATTATTTTCAAAATATACATACACATAAAATTCTTATGCACAGAGAAATTTAAGCTGTCATTATGATGCTTTGTAATAATTCCATGGTTTTAGTTTCTTTACCTAGACCAGGGATTAGCAAACATTTTCTGTAAAGGGCAAGATAGTAAATATTTTAGGTTTGGGGGCCATAGTCTCTGTTGCAACTACTAAAATCTGCCCATACAGAGAAAATATATAGACACTCCGTCAGCACGTAAGTGCCTCCAGACCCCAGGAGGAGCTGTGGCCTGCTTCCATCTCAGCCTGCTGGGTCCATGCCACCCACCTATATCTCCCTTAATCTCTCATGGATCAGTCCTGGTGATCTGGACACATTCCCTTGGAAAGGGCACTCCTGGCTCAATCTTCCTCTTGACCCCATGTGTTGACATGGTGTAGGTTTCCTCCACCTCTACCACTTACTTACTCCTGTAGTTCCTGCAGCTCCTCGATACCAGTTGCCTTTATTCCCCTTCAGCCACCTGCACCTTGGGGCCTCATCAGGTCTTTGGACCTTGGCATAATTAGAAAAAATTTCTGCCTCTAAATTATTAAACCTGGTTATTCTCTTCTCTGACAACTTTCTACCCTTCTAGTATTCTCACCTTCACCCACAAGATTCTGTGAGCTTCATTAAAATCTCTCATCTAATGTATCAGACAGATTCCACCCTTCTTCTATTTGTTCTCACCAAAACTTGTGGTCATCCATAAAGCAAAACCCCAACAGCCCAGTGCTCTGTGCTCACATGCCAGCTGTATAGCAATCCTGGAAGAAGCCATTTGATTATGTAACCTGGTGCCAGGATATAGGTACATCAGCCGGGCCCTAGCACCTCTCTGCAATCACACTCCCAAGGGTCTCTGTGTGGCTCTCACTCACTCCTCACAGCAGTTATTTCACTGCTCTCTGAAAGCCCTACTTCTCTCCTGACTCTCAGAGCAAACCATCTAACCTATTTCCCAGAGAAGACAGGTCACCAGGCAGGAAAATCCCGTAACTTCCTGCCCCCAATTTCACTCATCTGCATTACTGCCCATCCTTGTCTCCTTCATGTTCATTCTAGTGGAAGATGGCTCCTTCTCCACTTAAATTAATCCCTCCACCTGGGATCTGAATCTCACTACCTCCTGCAAGACCTTGAACCATCAACTATTCCTCTGCTTCTCTTTGACCCTTCTCCCTCTATTCAGCGCTTCGCTCACCATTTAAACATGCTCAAGTTTTCCAATGACCCTAAAATACTCCCTATTCCCCCCCCACACATACACACACTGCCAGATGCTGATCTTGCACTCTCCTTTTCTTCACAGGCAAACGTTTAATGAGTTGATCTCACTGTCTGCTTTTCTTATGTCCTACTCCCTCTTTAATCTACTCTAGTCTGGCTTCTACTCCTACCACTCCACTGAAATGTCCCTAGCATAGGTCACTAATGATCTGCTGGGTACTAATTCCCATGGATGTTTCTCAAGCTTTTTACTACTTGATAATAAAAATAAGATGAAACACTTGTACAGCATTTATTATGTGCTGGACTGTTTTAAGCACTTTACTCATGTTTGCTAACTTAATCACCACAACACCCCATGGGGAGGTACAATCATTATTCTCTTACAGATGAGGAAACCAAGGCACAAAGAAGTTTAAGTAAACATGCCAAGACTGCACAATCTCTGTGAGCATTTGCCATTCTGCAGGAGGTAGCAGGTCTACCTTTTTCTTCTCTCTCTCTGACTTCTCTTGATCTCTTTTGTGGCATCCTCTGTATTCACCTTGATTTTGTCTTTTTGGCTTTCATCTCACACTACACAAGCTCCTTAAGATCTGTTTACATGCTGATGAACCTTTATCCAGGATGTTCCACTGGCACCTCAAACTCAACAGGTCCTAAAGTGAACTCATCAACCCAAAGAGCCGCCTCTTCCACTTCCTGGTCAATTGGAATAGTATCATCATTCATTCAGTAGACCAAGCTAGGACCTGGAAGTCGTTTTTTTCCCTTCAGCTCCTACATGCTGAGTTCCCTGAGTTATTTATTTATATGAACACACAAATACACACACAGACTCTACTTTATTCATATCTCTTAAATACGTTTACTTTTCTCCAACTCACCACCTGGCCCTAAGTTCACACTCCCATACTATCCCTGCCCAGATGACGACAGCCTTATCAGTCTCTCTTCCTAGATGCTCCAAACCTGTCTCTGCTCTGCCAGCACTGACCTTTGTCATCATTTCACTCTGTGCTTGAAATCTTTCAATGGTTCCCCTCAGCTTTAAGCCTAGGTGAGAAGTCTAACTCGGCCCATAAGACATTTTGTGATATGGCCCTACTTACATATCCAGCCTCATTCTCTCAGCACTTACTTGGAGACACATATGCCTTGAAGAGAGAAGTTAGAAAGCTGCTTGTTTTCTTTTAAAGTACATAATGCAACCAGTTGCTAGTTACCAAATCATTTGAGATTCAGTTAAAGTCAACGCCACAGAGCCTGCTTATTTTATAGATCATAATTCCTCCTAAAATTTCCTTTCTTTTGGACCAAATAGAGGGAGACTGACAGTGAGAAATTATGCTGGTAAATTCACCTGGCAGAATATTACTGACCCTCACCTCACAGGGGATGTGGAGTAGGTGAACATTAAATAGTAGTCCTCAGGTTTTGCATTCTTGTAAGGAAGAGACATGGATAGACACAGTAGAAGCAAACTCTAGATGATTCACAGTAGATGATTCATGAATGCCCTATGGAATCAACTGATTCTGAGGCCTAAATCTGAATCAGCCACTCTAAAGGTGGCATGCAGAAGCTCATCATTCAGCTAGTGAATAAGCCTGGCTGAATGCACAATGGTCACATCCCAACAAAACTTTTAGTAAGGGTCTGAATTGCTGCTTTCATTTATTATATTTTAAACCACACAGAGGACTTAATTTGCTATCATCATATTTGCTAATTTGTGTACTCTCAAATATCCTTGGTGAATGTCAATGGCCTATAACCTACTAAAAAGGCAGCATGTGGCCCAAACCAGGTGCAAGGGAGGAGGTCACCTCAACCCACAGCAGAGAAGGATGGAGGATGCTGCATCTAAATTTTGTTTTGAAGGATAGCGAGAGCTTAAAATAGATGGGACTTAGGGCCCTCCGGCTGAATAGACTTGCAAGAGCAAAGATCTCGACAGGCAAACGGAAAGCACAACTGGGGAATTCTAGAGGCAAGAGAAGACCACTGAGGTTTAGAGTCTAAAAGTGACATGCAGGGCACTCACTCACTCCCTGTCCAGTCACAGTCACACCTCTTCAAATATCCATGTTTCAAGCCTGAAATGTATCTGAAGGAACATGCCCAGTTTTCAACACCTCCTGAAGCCTCAAGTAAGGACAGAATAGGATAGCTTTCACCTTGGCACATGGGTAAAGCTTACCAGCCACATCAACTTCACTCGGAAAAGCGTGCCCAGGAAAGCCTGGGATGGGAATGATGAGTCAGGGGGAAGCCAGTGCAGTGGGTTCCCACAACTGCCTCTCTTTTCAACCTTGGCTACCAAGAGCTAAACATCTTCTGAGGCTTTCTACTTCAGAAGTTCTGAGGTACTGCTGACAAGCTTAGTTACCCTACTGGGTGAAAATAAAGACGTATCAAGCATTTTCCTTCAAATTTTGGGGGGAGGGAAAATGCTATGGTAAAAAAAGGGAAGAAACAGGGGAACAAAGGAAGAAATGCAAGTAGAAATGCAAAGCCACAGTTACCTTTCCTTGCTGCAGCCTCTTTCCTGAGTTTCCTCAGTTTCTCCAAGGCCCGAAGAATGTCTACCATTCTTTTGGTGTCTGCTTGTTTTTTCCTTACTTCAGATAAGACGCCATCGGCAGCAGCTTTAAGTTCCTGCTCCTGGAGGAGAGAGAGAGCCCATGAAAACAGCTGCCCAGCAGTGAGATTTCAGAGAATCAGATAGTCCCAGGGTTAAAGAAGATTCTACTGGACCTACATCCCAATTTCCTGGGCCGTACACAAAACTCTCTACACTGGTCCAGCCAAAGGATTATCTCTCTGCAGCTTCCAAGCAGGCATTGGTCTTTGTTTCTTCCTCAGAGTCTCTAAAGTGTGTTCTAAGGAAATCTGCATCCAATTTACCTTGTTAAGTTGGGTTTCTCATGAAAAATGCAGACACCTGGACCCAAAGATTGAGGGAAGATAAGGACTATGGTTAGAAAGGCCCAGCACACTACAATGCTGAGTGACAACCTAAAAAACTCCACTATCAGGGATCTCTTCCACATGACAGGCTTTCAAACATCTGAAGACTCTCCTACTCTTCATAAGTTGGTTCACATGTAGACTAAATAAGTCTGGTTCCTCTAAACCACCACTCAAGGGACTGTCTCCAACACCATCACCATGAGTGGTAGGGAGGATGCTTTTTCCTAAAGCTCTTTTCCCTTCTGTCAAATCAGCACCTGTAATGGCACCATTTCAGCTACCATGCTGTTTCACTCTTCTCTGTATTACTCCCTCCACCTGAAATGCACCTGTTGCTCTCACTTGGCTTTGAAATTTCCTTCAAGACTCAGTTTAGTTGTCATTTATCTTCCAAGCCTTCCCTGACACCTTACCCAAAGGATTAGATATTCCTTTTCTAGGCTCATATAGCACCTACATTTGAAATCCTAACACACAATGCTATACATGATCCCCCATGGGGCCCTAAGCCCCTCAAGGTCAAGCACTATGTCCTATTTATCTCTATCCCCAGTGTCCTGCACGGGGCCTGCTACTTACGGGCCCTCATTAAATGTCTGAACTGACTCAAACTCCCTTAGATTAAGGCCTTGCCTGCAAGTATTCTTAAAAGCACTGATGTTCTTGGGGGCTCAAAGACAAAGCAGGCCACCAATACACTTCAGAGGGGAGTTACATCAGACTCTAGGACAGTAGCAGACACCAGGAGAAGGGAGAGGAGGAGTTGGAAACACCAGCTAGTAGTGGAGAGTGGAGGAAGGGGGAAGGGCCTAGCACTCAAAAGTAAAGACAATGTCTTAAACAACTATCTGACCAATTTCCAGTTTTGCCCTGGCCCCCACTGAAGAGCTTGAAATTAACAAGTTTTCCAGTAACAGCCTGGGCTCAAGTCAGGAGTGAAACTGCCACAAGCCAGTTGTGTGGTTGTTGGCAGGTTAACCTCCCTATGCCTTAATTTCCTAATCTGTAAAATTGGGGTAATACCACCTAACCTCTCTCTCAGGGTTATTACAAGAATCCCAGATCTGGTATATGTAACGACCTTAGCACAGTGGCTAGTATATAGTAAGTGCTCAAAACCACCATTGTTGAACCTCCAGTTATGTGGTTTAAAACTTTTTCTAAACAAAGAAATTCTGGGGAAATCACTACTGACCCATCATCCAATTAGGGTATATGTTCCTTGAGGAAAGGCCCCAAATGCTGTATATTTTGTATTTTTAAAATCACCTAGGACCCAGATGCTTGTTAGTCTTGAATGTTGGTGTCAGGATGTCAATGGTGGCGCAGGAGACCTGTCACACCTGCAACGCCACTGTGTAATCCTACACAGTGTTTACAGGGCTTTGCAGTGCACCTAGAGCATTTGTGCTGCTACTACACATCATTAAAACGCAATCAATGCAGGTATGAGGTCACAAAGGCAAGCTTCTATTTTACAAATTATAAAGAGGCTTAGCCCTGGGAAATGGCAGGGCAAAGCCCCGTGTCCCTTCACGTTCCAAACACCATGACCCTTACTCCCACGTGCAACTGCAGCTCTTACCCGCTTCTTCTCCTCCACCTCCTGCACGCATTTGACCCTCCAGCGGTCAATCTCCTGCTCGCGCTCCGCAGCTCGCGCGGCCTCCGCCTCCCGCTCGGCCTCGCGTTCCCGGGCCCTCTCGCGAAGCCGCAGCCGGCGGCGCCGGACCCTCTCCAACCTCCGCCGTGCCTCGCCCACAAAGGCAGCCTGGGTCAGCAACTGTAGTCGCTCAGCCAGTTCGGCGCGCAGCGGCGCCGCCTGGGCATGCAGCAGTGCCCAGGCCGCGCCGTCCGCCTCGGTCTCGCGCAGGGCCTTGCACAGGTCCCGCAGTCGCCGCACGAGG